GGCGTCGTTCCATACGTAAAAGGTGCATTGCCTATTGTGAATCATCCCTGTTTTTCGGGTTGAGTAAACTGGTTATTCATGGGACGCCACTGCTTTATCCTGCCCTGACATGCGTGTTAATTTTTCTTATTGTACAGCGACCTATATCTTTGTTACGTTGATTCATATCAGCGAATTCTGTGTATCATAACCGGTTGTACAATTAAACCATCCTTTACGATATTACTGTACATTTAATTGTGTGCGAGTGGGTCTGGTACTACAATAAGTTGTACAGGGAACAATCCAGGCATTAGCTGGCTTATTTTCGATATTTCAATCAGTAGGGTGTCAAAGAACCCACAACACGAGGTGAAGGCGTGCCTCTTATCACTTTGTGGTCGAATGCTAGCCTACCCCGTGACAAATGGTGTCAGAAGTGGGATCTGCTTTATGAAAAACAAAACAAAAATTGTTAAGCAGATAATTATCGGTGCGAAGAAAATCATTTCAACTTGAAACCTGCCAGCTTACGCGATTGATTCCCCGACCAGTCTCACACGGGCACATTGTGAATAGCGATTTAATAATAAGTGTACATTATGGCAACAAACGTTATCACAACGCCAAAGGGACGGGGTAGAATATTATCGCCTTCATTTCGGGACATTGCTCCTAGTACTGTCGGCGAAATTAGACAACAGGGCGAGGAATTGGGTTATCAGGGGGCAGATTTAGATAAATATGTCCGTTCTACATTTAAACAAATGCAAGACCAAGAACGAACTGAACGTTTGGCTCAAAGAGAAAGGGACCACAAGGAACGTTTGGCTGAAAGAGAAAGCCAAGCGCGTTTGGTCGAAAAAGAACTGGAACTGACAAGGCTAAAAATGGAAATGTTCAAAACGGGACAATCTACATCTGAATCCAAAACCTCTCCCTTTTCAATTAAAATTAAAGCCCCTCCTGATTTTGTGCAAGGAGATGACATGGATGTGTATATAAGGCGTTTTGAAATATTTGCTAATAATTGCCAATGGAGCCAAGATGTATGGGGGGTCGCATTTAGTGGGCAGTTGTCGGGGAAGGCATTGGCTATATATAATGCATTGGATGTTGAGCAGACTAAGGATTGGGCGAGTGTGAAATGCGCTATGCTAAAAGCATACAATCTTACCGAGGAAGGGTATAGGGAGAAATTTAGACAATCTAGACCTGCTAAGTTTGAAACGGCTACCCAATTTGTCGTTAGGCTAAAACATTATTTGGCACGATGGGTTGAACTGTCTGGCATTGAAAATACAGGGAGGCATTGATAGATTTAATTGCACGGGAGCAATACCTGTCCACTTGCAGTTATGAAGTTGTGATGCATGTCAGAGAGCATGCGTGCAATACTGTGGGTGAGATGGCTACCTGTGTTGATCGTCGTGATGAAGGTCGACACTACACTGGTATGAACCATACCCCCACATGGTGAATAATTGTTATTTGTATAGAGGAACCCCATGTAAGTAAACAGTGCCCGAGTTACAGAGACACAATAAGGCAGGGAGGCAGTTTCATGCCCCCATAAGGCCGGGTGTCCAAGGCAAGGTGTACAACGGTCAGAGCCAGAGCCCCGACAACGGTCAGAGCCAGAGCCCCGACAACGGTCAGAGCCAGAGCCCGGACAACGGTCAGAGCCAGAGCCCCGACAACGGTCAGAGCCAGAGCCCCGACAACGGTCAGAGCCAGAGCCCCGACAACGGTCAGAGCCAGAGCCCCGACAACGGTCAGAGCCAGAGCCCCGACAACGGTCAGAGCCAGAGCCCCGACAACGGTCAGAGCCAGAGCCAGAGCCCCGACAACGGTCAGAGCCAGAGCCCCGACAACGGTCAGAGCCAGAGCCCCGACAACGGTCAGAGCCAGAGCCCCGACAACGGTCAGAGCCAGAGCCCCGACAACGGTCAGAGCCAGAGCCCTGACAACGGTCAGAGCCAGAGCGAGATGGAAATAAGGTCACATGCCCTTACTGATCATGGTGTTAATCGCGGGGAAATCCTAACTTGTGGGGAGATAAGAACTGAATATTCTACCCAAACCCCAGAAAAGAGTAACTCGATTGATGCGGTGCAGGGCGTTGTGACAAGGTCCCAGTTTTGGGGTGGGGACAAACTCAAGGCACCTCTTAAGGTCCTAACATGCCCAAATAATACATTGGTCGCGACAGAAGAGTTAAAAGCAGCACAAAAACGTGATCCAACTTTGAAGCGAGCCCGGGAATTGGCTACGAAGGGAGTGGAAATCAATACAGGCACTTCAAATATCTGTCGTTTCCTTTTTAAAAAAGGATTGTTGTATCGTCATTTCCACTCTCCGTCATTAGAATTTGGGAGGACTTTTAAACAACTGGTGGTGCCATCAGCTTTTCGTCTGGAAGTTATGAAGCTGGGGCATGACTCAATCCTTGCAGGCCATTTGGGTACCCAGAAAACTCTCAATAAGATTTTTACCCAGTTTTATTGGCCAGCAATGCATGAACAAATTAAAAGATATTGTCGATCATGCGACATTTGTCAACGTACCATCCCAAAAGGGAAAATAGGGAAGGTCCCTCTTGGTACAATGCCATTAATAGATGTACCATTTAAAAGGGTGGCGATGGATCTTGTAGGGCCCATCAAACCAGCCACTACAAAGGGTCATCAATATATCTTAACTGTGGTCGATTACGCAACTCGTTACCCAGAGGCTACACCTCTGAAACGGATTTCAACAGAGGTTGTAGCTGAGGCATTATTCACTATATATTGTAGAGTAGGATTTCCAGAACAAGTACTTACAGACCAGGGTACACAGTTCGTGAGTGATGTGATGAGGGAGGTCAGTAGGCTGTTGTCAATCAAGCAGCTAACCACTACTCCATACCACCCTCAATGCAATGGCCTTGTAGAGCGTTTTAACGCCACTTTAAAGGGCATGCTCAAGCGCATGTGTAGTGAACGCCCGAAAGATTGGGATCGGTATATAGCACCTTTGTTGTTTGCGTACCGCGAGGCTCCTCAGGCTAGTTTAGGCTTTTCCCCCTTCGAACTATTGTATGGCAGGACCGTAAGAGGCCCTATGACCATACTTAGAGAATTGTGGACAGGGGAGGCTACCAGTCCTGAAGTCCTCAATACCTATGAGTATGTGCTTAATCTGAGAAATCGATTAGAAACTACTTGTCAGATAGCACAGCAGGAACTAACAAAGTCAAGTGAGAGGTATAGATCGCATTTCGACAAAAAAACTAAACCTCGGAAGTTCGAAGTTGGTGACCAGGTTTTGCTTTTGCTACCCACCTCTGCAGACAAACTGCGTATGCAATGGCAAGGTCCATATAAAATTAAAGAGCGGGTAGGGCAGGTGGACTATCGCATAGACAAAAATGGTAAACTGAAGTTGTATCATATCAACATGTTAAAAAAGTATGAGGAAAGAAGGAGTTTTGACAACTGTGAGAAAGATTCTATCACACATTCACAAGTGGGTACTGCAGGGCTATTAACATGCATATCTACTGGCATGGTTGTAACTCCACCAGATGATCAGAGAGAGGATGGTCCTGAATGTCGGTCTCCTGACATAATAGAATTTGTGCCCCTTTTAGGGGAGGAGACAATTGAAGATGTGCATTTAGGCCCAGATCTCTTGGAGAGTCAGGTAATGGAAATCAAATTAATTTTGAGAAAGTTTACAAAAACTTTAACAGACTTGCCTGGACAGTCGAAGGTTGGGTGCCATGATATAAAGTTGACGACAGATCAACCAATCAAGTGCAAGGCATATGCAAACCCCTTCGCAACCCAGAAGTTGGTCATTAAGGAAGTGGAAGATATGTTAAAGATGGGCATCATAGAACGGTCAGATTCACCCTATGCTGCTCCTATTGTCTTGATTAAGAAAAAAGACGGAAAGATTCGTTTTTGTACAGACTTCCGTCGTCTTAATCAAATAACCGTCTTCGATGCCGAACCAATGCCTAACCCTGAGGAGTTATTCTCCAATCTTGCTGAGGGTCGATACTTGACAAAACTTGACTTGACCAAGGGTTTTTGGCAAATACCCTTGACCCCTGGGTCAAAACCTAAAACTGCTTTTCTCACTCCACTTGGGTTGTTCCAGTATAGGGTTATGCCCTTTGGCTTGGTCAATAGTCCCAGTACGTTCTCGAGAATGATGAGGGTTATTCTCGGGGGTATGCATGGAAAGGTCGTCAATCTGGTAGACGATATATTGATATACAATAAACTATGGGAAGATCATGTGTGCACCCTTGCTGAGGTTCTACAGCGTCTTCAAGAGGCTGGTTTAACAGTTAAACCATCAAAATGTTATATTGGTTTTTCCCAACTTGAATTTGTCGGCCACGTCGTAGGGTATGGTGAGTTGCGGACCATGCCCAGTAAAATCAATGCCATGCAAAATGCGCGAAGACCAGAAACAGTTACCCAAGTAAGGGCCCTGCTAGGATATGCGGGATATTATCGCAAATTTGTACCCAATTTCACAGCTATCGCTGCTCCTTTGTACGATCTAACCCGAAAAGGTCTGCCGAAAAAAGTAATTTGGGAGAAGGTTCATCAGCTCGCCTTTGAACAACTAAAACATGCTCTTAGCAATCCCCCAATCCTTAAATTGCCAGACTTTAATCGTACATTTGTTCTGAGAACTGATGCTGCTGAAGTGGGGCTAGGGGCGGTTCTGCTTCAATATTACGATGAAGTAGCCTTTCCTGTGGCATTTGCAAGCCGAAAACTAACTAAAGCAGAGGTAAATTATGCGGTAATAGAGAAGGAATGTCTTGCGTTAATATGGGGCCTGCGAAAATTTCAACAGTACCTTCATACTGCTAGTTTCTGGATTGAAACCGATCACAAACCACTGATATATATGAAAAGTGCAAAATTTACTAATAGCAGGATTATGAGATGGGCGTTGTATATGCAATCATTTTGATATCGAATTATAGCAATTAAAGGTAGTCACAATATAGGGGCGGATTACCTTAGTAGGAGTTCAGACAAAGGTATGTTGGGTTAAATTAAATATCAATTGCTTTAGAATAAAACTTGTGGGTGTTGGCATAATCATGGTCTATGATTACGACTTGGTATGGGGGTATGTCACAAGGTTCGTGATGGTATACATGCCGGGTTAAATTTAGGGTTTGGAGAAAAGGTATATTAAAATACAGCCAGAGGTAGGATTATTTCACAGCCGAGCTAGTAGACTTTGAAACACTTACACACCCCAAAACTCCATTCATAAAGAGACGCGTGTCATACGTGTGCCGGCTATTGATTACAAACACCGGTTAAGTGACTACCAAGAATGATAGCACCAGTGTATTGTGTAAGCAGATTCCAACTATGTTCAGTTGCCATGACAATGATTCCAGGTGGGGGACGTTATAAAAGGTCAAGGTAGACGCAGTCGCGGGGGAGAACATTAAGAACTGAGGCAGCGACAGCAACCGGAGCCAGCCTTGTGTTGCGAGTGAACGGGGAGAGTTAGTTCATCCCCACGTGGTGTGCAAGCTACTCGCTTAGTCGACGGACGTTGTGTAGATACAGTGGAAGACTGGGCTCCTTTTCTACGTGCTGTTCCATGGAACTTTTGTGTTCGACACGAATCCTACAAGGTATCCTACGAGAAACCAGGCCTGAGTATCGAACTGAATCTACATGTAGCAACGTTTCTACTATAACCCGACAGAAGCCGGTAATTATTACGCTCATTACACGCACATTAGGCTAGGGACCATTGGCTGTGTTTTGAATGTATTTTGGTAACTATTTGGCTAATTTAGTGGTTAAATTATTGTATTCTTATTTGAAATTGTAACAGTATTAGTTTAATTGTATTTTGTGACAGCCCGTTTCCTGCTTCAACGTTTCGCGCGCCCGTCGGCGCAGTTAAGTAGCGGCGTCGTTCCATACGTAAAAGGTGCATTGCCTATTGTGAATCAACCCGGTTTCGGGTTGAGTAAACTGGTTATTCACGGGACGCCACTGCTTTATCCTGCCCTGACATGCGTGTTAATTTTTCCTATTGTACAGCGACTTATATCTTTGTTACGTTGATTCATATCAGCGAATTCTGTGTATCATAACCGGTTGTACAATTAAACCATCCTTTACGATATTACTGAGCATTTCATTGTGTGCGAGTGGGACTGGTATAATAAGGTGTACAGGGGACAATCCAGGCATCAGCTGGCTTATTTTCGATATTTCAATCAGTAGGGTGTCAAAGAACCCACAACACGAGGTGAAGGCGTGCCTCTTATCACTTTGTGGTCGGATGCTAGCCTACCCCGTGACAGCTGTCAATGATAATTATATCAATGATTACGATGTCAATGATAATGATAACAATGATTTCAATATCGATGATAATTATGTCGATTATTCCAATGTTGATGATTATGATGTTAATGATAATGTCAATGATAACGATGTCGATAATGATGTGAATGATTACGATGTTATAACACCGAGGATTATGATGTCGATGATTAGGATATCGATGATGATGAAGTCAATGATTACGTATTGATGATAATGATTACAATGTCGATTACTACGATGTCAAGGATTACCATGTCGATGACACACGTTATGGATTACCCGAATAAAAAAGTTAAAAATAAAACATAAAAAAACAGCTCAGTGCATTTGATGTTTACAATATTAGTGTTTCTATGTTATCGTTGTTTACCATTTACATTGTTTTCTACATTATTGCGAACTTGTGCCATTACATTCTGAAATCAGTGCCTATCTGATAAAAAATGTCCACTGTCTGTATTTTAATGCATGTCTTCTTTGAATAGTTATTGAAGTATTCAAAAGTTGAAAACGATCTTATGTGGAGGATGTTCAGATCTTCGGGCGTTTGCCATCAGATAATTGCCAATAAGATAAAATCACTCACCACAAAAAGGAATAAGTGAAATAAAAAAAGTGGAAATGCATGGTACATACTAAGCATATAATGATAAGACTTATATTTAAGGAATTAATCTACTGATATGAACATTTTTTCACAAAGTAATCACAATTCCTTGTCGTTTGGCTGATGCATATAATGCCAATATAGTAGAAACAACTAGATGACTGTGCTCCAATGGAACGGGTGTTGGTTTCCCGTCTAATATCGAAGATTCAAATGCTGCAATTTCTGCCAGGAATGCATCAATTTTTGGCACAGTGATAGTTTTCATTGGCTGGCCTTCAATGCAAAGATCAAAAAAGTTGTCAACGCCGTAAGCATCAGGGTGATAAGCCGAATTTGTATAAATTCGTATTCTGCCCTTGCTACCATTAATTTCAAAATGGCTATCACTCGACGAAGTAATACTAGATGTAATACATCCATGGATACCATTGTTGAACTGCAGAATTCCGTACAATGAACCATCCACACCCCTGAAAGATACATGTTTTTAAAGTGAATAGATATGTATAAATTGGTGGGCGTTACACAGAATAGTACTTGTTCAAGCATTATTATTGTTATATTTATGTTTGGTTTGTGTTGTTTGAAATCAG